AGATTATTTTCAAAATAATTAATTATAATTTTAGGAAAAATCTAAAAATACATCAAGGAGTCTTATTTATCAGTAAATTTGAAAAAGAAAGGGAGAAAGAAATTCAACATTATTTAATGTACATTACTTAAAAAAACTTTATCATCATTTATAAGAAAAACAAAAAAGTTAATTATTATATATATATATATATTTTTTTTTTTAGAAAATTTTATAAAATATTTTTATTTTTCTATACTTCCACTTGCTTCCAAATCTTTTGTAATCCTTTCATTTATCATCACCCTGTATATACAAATCTTGCGTATTATGTATATGATATATTTGTAAAAAATTTATGAAGATTATTATATCGAATGTTTTATTGATTGTTTTTTTTGAATAGAATATATATTATATTTTCTATACATTTATTAATCACTAATTACATATATTGATAACATTTATGTAAATACATGCCTTTTTTTTTTTTACACAGATACCGATGTATCATAAAGATATAATCTTTAACTGTTAAAACTCATAAATCAACATATACAATCATTCTATACAATCATATATACATATGTATACTCTGTAGTGACTATTTGTCGTTTTCCTTTCACATTTTAATTACATAAGTCGTAATAAATAATTTAATGGAAATGAACGTCAAGTCGTATCCACATGAAAAATGTATAATAGTGATAAAAGAATTCATACATACTATTGAAAAAGAATTTTGGATATCCGTGGAATTTCAATTTTTTTATGTGAAAGAAAAGTATTCGTCGTTGTAGATCGTAGATTTATGCATAAGTGAAAGTATTTCATCGACAAATGGACGCTCTAATGATCATGGAATGTCACATTCGTTAGTTAGAAAGTCGTAGATAGATTCCTTCTCGATGTTTTTTTTTTCGATGTTAATGCTAAACATCTTTTTCTAACTGTCTACTTTTAAACTTCAAAATTTATTTTAACTTTTATGAACATAAATATTTTTCTATTATTAATATATAAAAAACTGCCACACATTAATCAGATTTTTAGTAATAGATATATCGAAAAGAGAATCGACATTTTTTTTAATTATTCATCGAGAATGGAAACTATGTACTGAGGGCGCTCCATGTATTGTCAAGCTCATAGGTTAAGCAATTTGATTTGTTACACAGAATTTTATTAGGCCATGGTATATATACATAAATAGTTTATTTTGTGATTGATTTTTATATTTTATTTTGTGTTAAACGCTTTCGTCTAGTTATTGTAATCGCTGGACGAGTATTCACGAGTAATAAGAGAAAATATAGCATAGATAACCTATATTCTTAGATGTAGGGCGGTACACTTAGAAAATATAACATATAAATATGCGATTATAGTGTGTTATATCGATATCGTTGGTGTGCTATAATAAACGTTATGCTGCTGTGTAATGCGATGTCTTGAATTATTTTTTGTCGCTTTCGTACATTTATCGAGCTTTCGTCATTTGGTCCCTATTTCTCTTCATCGCGTTAGTATCGTTCATGAGCTTGCTTTTTCGACTCGTTGTCATTTCTATTTCGCGAAAATATTTTTTATTTCGATTTTTAATCGAATCACGTTTCGAGTATTTCGCGAAACAATATTGCAATTAGTTCAATGACAAGTGAAATTATCCTCGTTTAATTTTTTTCCTGAAAAGTAAAAGTGATTAAAATATTATGTTGATTGTTCTCTTAATTCTTTTGTTTTCTTCTTAAATTTGATTAAACAAACACAAACAGCGACTGAATTTGAATCACGATGCTTTCGAGATATGTATAGTAAATTTTTGCGACATGCTGCGTTCTTGTTGTGACAATATTATTGTACGTTTAATAAGTCGAATTGCATGCGAGTGAAACAAATTATTATCGTCGAAATTGTGTGCAAATATTTTTTCTATTTTCACGTCATTGAAATAAACCTAACAAGGATTATTGATCATGATTATTTCAAATGGTTCACGGTAAGTTATCAATTTGTATATAAATAATTATAATATTTTTAATTATTTTTATCTATTTGCAATTGTTTTACAAAAAATTTTCATATATATTTCTTACTTTTCTATTTTATCACATTGTACATAATCTCTGTAAATATTATAATGCATTCACTTTTATTAAAACTTTTTTATTCTAAAATTGTTACTAACAAAAAAGAATAAAACGTTGAATTTATCCGCGAGCAAGAAGACGATGCATCGATTTATCTTTGCACTTGTTTGCATGCATACACGTTATTATCGTTTTTTATTATTGATCTAGTAATTATGCAACTCTCATTACTATATTCGGATCATATTAGTTTTATCGGAATATTCTGTCCATCATTAGTAGCATTTTACATTTCAAATTATTTTACATTTGAAACTTGCAATGTTGAAATTACTATTTCAGAAAATAAATCAAATACAAAAATTAGTAACTAAAATAGTTGAGGCTTATTTATTAAATTATATGTTTATTTTATAAACAATTGAATTTGTGTAACAAATCGAGATAGAGATAAAATGAGATAACCTATCTTCATTATCATTTCTGTCTTGTTTTATTTAATACAAACTTCAATTTTTTATAATTTAATAAATAAGCTTTAACCAATATTTTTATATACCAATTTTTATATTTGCTTTATTTTTTAGAATCAACTCTCCATAAGTATTTTACGAATATATTAATATTCTATATAAAAAATTGCAAGTTACAAGAATATTGCAAAAAGAGATCATAACTCAAAACAGATTGAAAAATAATAATATAAAATTATTAAATCACATGGAACATGGTGTAGGATTCTAAAAAAAAGAATAATGAGAAAATTTTCCGATAGATCGATTTTTTTTTTTATTATTACAGTTTTCACTTGTATAGGGACATTTTCGTAATGTTCGACAAAAAACCAAGCACAATATTGTAATCTAATTGCACATGTCTCTTTCCGACCAACGAATGAATGAAAAAGTGGAACAAGGTGAGATTCAACCAACGGCACGCGAATGGTTGAATCTCATATTATTATGAGCCTCTTATATTATTAACCTTATCCTCTTAATTATTTTCATCCGTGCGCGCTCGTTTATAGGTTACACAACGCCATATTGAAAACGCGACAGTGTTGCACTGATTCGAAATGAGCGGGCGAATTGAAATCTTGATTATATTTGCTTTCGATCAATAATCATCATTGTTGCAAAATAAATTTCTTAATCACTTTATTGTTTTTTATATCATGAATTCATTATTAGTTATAGTAGATAAATTAATGGTTATAAAAATAATCTAAAAATAGGTTTGCATTTCATCTTTGAAAAATATTTTATTTTTACCTTTTCTTTTATATATTTTAATAGCTTTTTTATTTTAATTTTAAATTATTTTATAACTTCTCTTCTAAAAAAAATTTAAAGTAATTTTTTATCAATTTTTATCAATTACTTTGAAAAATTTTCTAAATTGCATTAATCGCGGGAAAATTTAAATGTTAACTGGTTCATTTATACTTGTCTAACCAAAAAAATGTTATCATTCATTATTTCTTCAATCATATATAATTATTTAAATTAATTTATTTAATATTTAACTATTCTTAATAGAATTTTATTAATATATGTTATTATATAACTATAAAAAATAAACAATGAATTAGTTTGTCTATTTTTTTCACATCATTTCATAATTATTGTAGCAGAATCATCGTATGCTATGAGTTGATCCATGGTATTTCTGGAGCAATATAATTCATCACTGGAGAAACTACCGTTCATACATTAACGTGATATCTGTAGATAGTCGGCACTAGATCAACAGACAGTCTCATGGTGCCTTATCGACACCATGAGTTACGCTCGTTTTTTAGTGATAACTGATGCACGCGTGCATCTACGTGCTCTTCCCTACGCTCGTTATCGTGCTTCAAAGAATCTGCTTGTCATAGGTTTGGGATTTTCGATAATAACCGTTTATTTACATTAGTTTCGCTCACAAAATCTTTCATTTTAAAAATTCATTTAATACATATGTTTTAGTTATTCGTTAGTAGAATAAATGCTAATAAAATATATAAATTGTAGATTACTTTAATTGAATATATGTTTGTTGAAGTGAATTTTAATATTAAATTCAATTTAAATATTAATGTAAGTTTATTTTTAACATCAATTTGTTTAACATATTCTTGAATACAATAAAAACTTTTTCGTTAACAATAAATATTTTAACTAATTAAATTAATATTTAAAATTTTGCAAATTAATGTAATTACTAAATTAAGATTCATCTTATTTAATTTTCACTTTATAAAAAGATTAATTAATGGAAAGGATAAAATTAATATTTATCGTTCCTTGATTATACAGTTATTACAGAATGTTGAAAGCAAGGAAAGTTCACGTTCTATATTTAGATATTCTATTTGCAATAAGACTACTTTGAACGGTTAACCTAATATACAAAGTGGTTTCTAGTTACAGTTATACGTAATATGCAATATGAATAAAAAATGACTAGTAAAAAAATTAGTTGATGATGTAGATCTTTGATCTTTGATTTGTAAAATATATATTCTATACATTTGACATTAATATTACAAGTAACTGTTATTTATAGTTACATAGTATATATAGCGTATCGAGAAAGAACGGGATTTCGATTGGAATCTGAATTTGTATCTTCTATTTCCGGGATGACTACAAATTAAACTGTACAAGTTGCTGATAGATTTCTTCTTATTCTACATTTAGGTCACAAGCATTAGTGTAATTACAAACATTTATTTATTCATTCTATGATATTCTTATGAAAGTATAAATTTAACGATTCGCTAGAAATTCTTAATTTCTCTTTAATTTATTTATTAATTTCTTTTATAACCATTTTTATAACTATAATCTGAATTAAATTTGAAATAAAAAATTAAAACTGAAATTGATATGGTAAATTCCCTTAAACAAAAGGTGTTTATAACATCATAAATTCAATTTAAAGTTTATATTATATAAATTGTTTTTTCATAAAAAAAAAAAAAGACAAAATTAAAATTCACCAAATATACATATAATATACATAGCGTTTTTAGACGCAAGATAATTCTTTAGTATAGCTAGTTCATGTTGCAGCTGCATGCTGTCGCATAATTCGGCTCGGTTAACGTCGCTCGTCCGATTTGGTAGCAACGTCCGCATGAACGTTAATATACCTTACAATAAGGCAAACCACATCATGACATCCGGTTGAATACGGTACACGTTACGGCACAAGTACTTACGCGTTGCCAAAGGGATAACAGTTTGTTTATTCATCTTTTTCATTTAGAAGGAAAATCGTAACGGATACAATCGAGTTTTCAATAGTAAGTGTTTTTTCCATATTAGAATTTTGGATCTTTTCATTTAATCAAAATCTGATGCTCGATGTTGTAACATTCTTGGTTGTTCCTGATGAAGAAAAATAAATATAAGATTGTTTTCTTTTTTTTTTCGAGAAAATAAATGAAACTTTAATTGATTATATTTAATGTGATAATAATGAATGAATAGAAATTTGTAGTTAGAAATAGAATATGAAAAAGAAAGATTATTAGTCTACTTATATATAAACAGCATTTCACTTAGTTTGCATATGTATTCATATTTTCTATAGAAAGAAAGCAATTTTTTTAAAAATATGTTTTGAATATATTACACAACTTGAGAAAGTCTTGTCTCATATTATTATTCACAATTAGTTTTACATGATAGAAAAAGAAATATACCTATCTACAAGTATACATTTCAACACGTTCAGTAGTGAATGCATTGAAAATACATTTCAAAGCACGTAGCAAGATTGTCAGAGGCAAAACGTGTACGCAGAGAACAGGACAACGTCTCGTTTGACAAATGATATGTTCTATCTTATCGCTGTTTATCTCTTCGGTTGTAACCGGCAATCTCTCACCATCTTCGAATAAATCAGTATTCCGTCTCCGGCATCTCACGAGAAAAATCTATAACAAGAAACATTCGATGTAATTTTCTGCTTATTTTTTTCTAAATCATATTTCTTTTTTTATAATGTTGTTAGCAATTTGGTAAGTAAGGAAAAATTCATTTTAAATATTTTTTTTATTATATCAAAACTAAAAGAAAAATATATTTTTTGAAATATAAAATTCTTTTTTTAATTAGTAGTCTTAAAATCTCTTTCATATTCTCAAATATAAAAGAAAAAATATGATGATGATATTCTCAAATATAAATATATCTTATTTATACTTTCCAATTTATTAATATATTAGTAAATGAAATTTAAAAAAGATTAAATATTAAAATGTAAAGTTAGATTGCAACCAATAAATAATACTAGTGTAAACAATAATTACTAAAAAGAAATTATATACTAGGTGAATGATATATTGAGTCAAGAGTGATAAAAGCTTTGTTGTAACAATCTCATCAAGAAGAAAAAACGTGAAGTTTGTTAAATGATAAATCGTAACATAGGAAAACCGGAATTTACTTTCAGCAAACTGGTTAATCTCTCATTGTGTTCCGTTTATGACCGTGACGGAAAGTGCACCTCTTTGTTGCCAGCCGGAAGAACACGGAAATTCGTGCTCGAAATCGACAATCGAAATCAATAATCGAAATCAACAATTTGAAATTGCGATTGTCATTAAATTCCTTTATACTATTCTTCGTGTTCCATAAATGAATTGAGGATTTTAATCGTTGCCTATTTAGACATTTGGAATCTAAAATACAAAAAAGAAAAAATAGAAATTACTTCATTTTTAAAATTGTTTTTTTTTTTTATTTAAAACTCTATTTTTTTTAACAAAAATTATAGTTAATTTTATGTCTAAATTTATCTACATAGTAAATGTATTTTTCGAAGTTATTTAACGACTAACTGATAAAATTGATTTCGTTAAGTTTTGTATATATATATATATTTTTGAAAATGGTATTCTTTGTACATACTTTGTCACAGTCAGCAATTTATGTTAGTTGCTTGAGAATTCTCCTTTAAATTCTAAAATATTTTCTTTGTCAGGTATTAGAAACATTAAAGTTCTTGAGATATACTTACTATATATTTTTTACTTGAATATTTAATTTTTTCTAAAAAAAGAAAAAATGAAAAGAAAAGAAAAGAAAAATAAGAAGTTCAAATAAAACTTATAATAAAGTCTAAATATTAAATTAAAGTAATCAGATTAAAAATAATTATATTTTTTACTTCATATTCCATAAAAAATATATTATTTGGCCAATATTATAAAATATAATATTATAAAAAATATAATATTATAAAATCAAAATACAATTTGTTCACAATAATACTCCATTTTCATAATAAAAATATCATAGTCAACATTATTATTTTTGTTTTATCAATGAACACGTGTTTCTAATGTCAACACTGATTCATACATTATCACATGTGTTCCCTTCCAAATACATAAATTAAATAGAAGAAAACAAGAAAAAAACAAAAATAATTATTTACCACTACATCAAAATAAGTATCTTCAAAGATCATTGGCTTTATTTTCTTTGCGAGTCTCACAAGAAATTTTTAATTAATGACCTAACCTCGTTGCGAAATTAATTCTAAACAACGGTGATAAACCGAACGTTCCCAGCTAATGGGTAATCGCATCGTAGCTTCACTTATCGCATCAATTACGAGAATGCTCGAATTATCTATGAACTACGTCGTCATACGCGAGAAAAAATCATTGTAAATGATCGTGTCGCCGAAAGAACGCAATGCGACAAAGTTGCGTGACTCATGCACCACGGCTAATGCATTCCACCATGATGTCATAATCTTGCTCTCATGCGAGCTTCTTCCTCCTTCCAAAGAAAACCTTCGATCTTGTTTTACATAGTATTTTACTCGTATGTTCTTTCGTTCCGCTCTGTTAATCGTGTCTTTATCTTACAAATGAAAAAAGAAAAAATGGAGATATAATTTGTCGTGTCAGTGATGAAGGTTGCAGCAGAAAAACTTGAGAAAATGTAAGTGAAACTTTAGGTTACCGTTGCATGAAACTTGTTTGATTGACAGTTGGATTGATTACAATGCATTAATATGTAATTGTAGATAATTTGTTAAATGATTGGATTTTATAAAATTTTTTGTTTTATGAAAAATATACGTGATTTTTTAGGATATTGGAAAAATTATTAATTACAAAAACTATAAATTTCAATATAATATTAAGTAAATTATAGTATAATATCTGTCAAGAAGATTTAAAAATTATAAAAGTTTTTTTTTAAACTGAAAGTATTAATTTAAAAACTTCATCATATAATAAAAGAAATCATTATTTCATTTCTATACATAATAACATAATAAATGAATGTTTTGATATCCAAAGTTAACCTCAAATTATTTACCCTTTGATCACATCAAATAACTTGATTAAAAATAAAAAATATAGAAAGTTAAAAATATCAATATATTATTAGAAATAATTAAACTACTTTATATACATTATATCTTAATTAAAGATTAAATTCTCTACTGAATTAATAATTCTCGTTTAAATTTTCAAAATTTAATACGAATACGGACAAAACATATTCCTCATCGTTGCAAAGTTAAAAGAGAATTAAGAACTATTACGTACACTCACTCTCGTATCATACGTCTTTATAATCATCCTTTGCAGAGACATCAATGTTTGGAACGTGGCGATAAATCGTAATTCCAGACAAATCTACGATCGAATTCGAGGAAGAGGTGCGGTTCACGCGGGCGTAAAACGAATCGTTAAAGGATGGTTCTCACATTCGCGTGGACGATCACGGCTTTTACCGACGACGTAATTACTCGTTGCTCACTTGCGTCTATTGATCTTAAACGGAAGCAACCAGGGCCTTAGGTGTGCTTCGCACGCACGCAGCGCGCATTTTAATGGAAGACGTACCGTTTCCTCTGTACCGGAATGGATTAGTCATGACCTCCAAGAAGTTTCCCAGAAAGCTAGTGTAACGAACTCAACGACGGCACTTCGAATGACGTGTACGACGAATCATGTTTTTTACAGGAGTGTTCATGTATTACTCGTGTTGTCAACATTGATTAGATCGACAATAGCATGATGATAATTTGATTCAATTAGTTTATAAAGATAGTTTTATTTTGGTGTCATTGATTTTATTTTTTTTTTCGTTGTTTGATGCTTTAAGTGATTCATTTAAAAAAAAATGTTAAAATTAGATTAATTTATTCACTATTATTTAATGTAATTATTCAAAAATATTTATTATCTAAACACGTTCTAAACAATTAATATCATATTTTGTTCTTTTATTTTTTAATTATTTTAATTAATTAGTTTAAATTTGTATAAAAATTAAGAATTTTAATGACATCCATTGATTCAAACATTCAATCTAATATACATTTTAAAACTAAATTTGATAAAGTTACATTTTATTTCATTATTTTCGTGTATCTTCATGTCAATTTGCATTATACATGATGTTCAGGTATAAGATAATTACATAGAACGAAATCCGTGAACAAGCGCAACTTTTAACCTCGAAAATGTGTCTTCTATTCATTAACATGACAATGGTCGACCCTGGTCAGCTGGAACGAACCTTCACTATATGCAAGCGTGCTCCACGAGTGTAAATTCATTGTCTGTGCCATTCAATTCTTCTTCAGGGTCGTCTGTGTGTTTTCGAAACTTTACGGGCTTCGAAAGTTCGAAAATCGACTGATTCTTCCTTGGAAAGAAAATGAACTGATTCTTCATTTTCATGTAATTATAACTAAAAAATTATACCATTATAATATATATATTACAAATTTTGGGATTTAGTTTTAATTAGATAGTTTTAGATAGAAAGTAGAAAGTTTCATTCTAAAAATTATTATAAATTAATTAATTATAATTAATTATTGAGTATCATTTTATTAAACTGTCTTGACAAAAGCATCATAGAAAACTCTTATTATGCAAGCATTTATTATAATTATTATAATACGATATTAAATTGTTTTAAATTCCGGAAATTTATCTTAACTAATTAGTAAAATATTTTCAACCAATACCTTTGAATCCAATCTTCAAAATATTTTTTACTCTCCTATAAATTCCTCGACCCATAAAACTAGGTTAATCTCCACATATCAAAATTCAACGCCCAATGAGCAAAAAAGAGATTAATGTGCCAATGACGAAATATTCACGACATCCGTGCTTCCTCTCTTCATCATTCCAACTAATGGTAGCGTTTAATTCGGTCTGGGGTCCCAGTGAATACTAGTCCCATCTCTGGGGTCATCTTTCCATACGAACCACACACTGGTCTGTCGGCTATACGAGTCGGATGACTTTTAATGTATCTCTGTTCCTCCTTACCGGCTGTTCGCCTCTCCCTTTCCTTTCTTTATTGTCCGGCTGGTAAGTGCGGGTGGTGAGGACTGGACCCCCTCCTCCTCTCTTCACGCTACTCCTACTCGCACACGTTGCCACCACCACCATCGTGCAACTGCTCCTCGTGGACCTAACACGTTCGAATTAGTCGTCTCGTTAACCAGCCTCGTGGTGCATCGTCGATTAACTTCGCGTTTATTTCTCCCGAATGATTGAATTTCTCTGGTTTGGTGAACAATACGAGAAACAATAAACGCAGGTCAATATCGCGATTTGTTACGTGTTGCTTACTTTGATCGGTGCACGACGAATCCTTCGGTGCTGAAATTGAACTGGACCTGCGCGAACCTGGCTCGGTTGATAGACCGGTTTTGTCGTTCCATCGGGCTTCCATCCGGAATCACTGGCCTGAATGTATGTTGCTGGGAGCTTGATTGGAGGTTAGGAAAAAGTTAAAAAAGTAATAAAATAAGGATTTGTATATTAAATGATATTAGGTTATATAATAAAGAAAGAAAATTTGTTAAAAATTGATTAAAGAATATAGATTTGTTGATAGTGAGTTCTTGTGAGTGATTTGTTATGTTTGACAATCTTTCATTTATAACCTATTGATCCATAAATTATTTATTATTATAAAAGATTTGCGTGTTTATTAATTAATTTTATCAATTAATATAAAATTATAATTTTAATAAGTGAAAGAAAAATAATTAAAAAATTTATTCGTCAGAAGTGCGCATGATCAATATATTTTGAAAATTTATAATTATATGAATCATCGTTTATCAAAGAAAATCCAATCAAACAGTAAAGTGTCATTTTTACATTCATTGATAAGTTATCAAACAACTAATTATTATAAATTTCACGATTATGGCAATTACACTTTTACTTTGCTGGAGATTTTTGATTCGATCGAAACGGAAATTTGTCGAAAGTCCGATGCTTGACTCACGTACAGGTAGACTGGGGAAGGGCAACGTAGGGTCACGTGTCCCGAGTCGAACGAGAATCGATTGAACCGCCGGGATCGGGCGCCAGTGTGCGTCGAGACGAGGATCGATCGAGGCAGGTGGATCATCGTGTGCGATTTGTACGGGTAGGGCGTGTCGCATGTTGCTTGCTGTGTTAGAAAACCAATGTCCTTGTTATACAATTATAGTGAAATTACAGTATGAACTATATGATATTGGCGTATATATTTTATGTTAGAATTGTAAAAATTAACATAATAGTGAGATGTCATAATTCTTTGTTTATTATTGAATTATTATGATATGATAAGTGTATAAGAAAAGTGTTTCTGAATGGTGTACCAAGTGGAACATTAATATTATCTGTTGTGATTTTTTTGAAAGGAAACATACTCAAAGGTGATAATATACAAGATATTTTCGAGATAAATTGTGACTTCATTAACACAGTGTGTATGTTTTTTTTACTATTTTGAAACAAAAAATAATCGGCATTTCTAGAATCAAGTTGATACTGTCAAATATAGAAAATATGAAAATTTAACACAATTATATATTATTTATATTATTTATTATATACTATTTATATATTATTTATTTATTAACTTCATAACCGATTATTAATTATTAAATCATGATACATACTAATAAAATTTATCCAAAATATTTTAATTATAAAACTATCAAAAAAAAATACAAATAGATAAATATTATATAAAATGTTGCGAACGATAAACATTAAAATTATGTCCTTGTAAATATCGCACTACGTTATCTCACCATAGACGAACGATCGAGCGTGGATATATATATACGGGTATAACAGCTGCCTAGAAATTTTTATAAAATAACACACGTGTCCATTGCAAGGGTTCCCAAAAGTTTTCCAAAAGTCAGTGAATCGTCAACCAGTTGTGTAACTATATAACCATTGTTCATGTCAGTAGTTTGCGAACTTGGAGGCGCGCGTATCGTGTCCTGTCCAGAAGGAAAAAGGACATCTGGTGAACTAGCAGAAAAAGAGAAAAATGAGAGTCGGTAATAAGGGAGTGTTAAACTTTCTATGCTTTTCTCAGTGTTATATGCCCTCTCTTGTTCGACGTTTCGTGCACACGCGCGAGCGCGCGTCAGAGCGTGCATTAGTGCCACGTGCATTCGCCAAGGGAATCCTGCATGGCTGGAGTTCCTGGCATGCCTGACAAAAACCGCGATACTTGTTGCTCGTCGCGTGGCCTGATGTAATAATAGTTCGTCCACTCGTTGCGTCACGTTCGAGGACGCGTCGCGAGTCGAGAAATCGCCGTCTCGATATTATTCGTGGGCACGCGATATATCGTTGGAAAGAGATAGAGAAAAGCTGAGTGCGCAGCAAATTAACATGTTCCGAGACGGAAAAGTAAATAAATTATGATGTATCAAAAGATATTGCGCGTTTTATAATAGCAGGTTATTAAAGTGAAATGAATGATTGAAATTAATGAAAAATATGTATAAATCATTATACCATAGAAAAATTATATAAAATCATTGAATTTGATAATTTTTATAATTTTACAATAAAAAAATCTTTCGAAATTGATTAAAAATTGATTAAAAATTTGATTAAAAATTCTCTTGAATTTTCTTCCTAAATTGGATTAAATACATTTGATTGAACCTAATTATTTGATTGAAATCTGTTGGCTTATTCTCGTAATGTTCATTCTTACAATTTACGCAAGTTTCTTTTACCGGTTTTTATAACTTCCACCTGTCTCATTTTCTTTTCTTCCGTCTTACACTGAGAAAGGATAGTTATCTCGAACATAATTGAGGCAGTAAATGTTCTTTTACCTAGTAGTACCGCGTTCTTTCGTCGAAACGCATTCTTCTAGAGAAAACATTGTCAAAGAAAGTTAGAAATATTTTCTTCGCATTGAATCATGTATATTATGTTAAATTATTAAGAATAATTTAGGTCATGATAGAATTTCATAAAATTGATTAGTGATTAAAGTACATAACCTAATCATGTTATAAATGTTAATATGATTTAAACAAAAATTTCATTTTATATGTTCACATTTCTAATATATTTTTTTTCTTATTTGAAAAGACATTATAATGCTAATTGCTAACTGATTTTATCATTCTATATCATGATTCATAATATACTACTAATCTATTGATTATTCCGATATAGAACATTAGAAACTCATTAAGAACATGCTATAAGGTTATGTCTCTCATGAAATTCGTGTTGTTCGGGCAGTTTATTTCTATCTTGCAATTCTGATATTTTTAGATACGATTCTATGTTTGACTGTGACTCTTGCTTCATGTGTTATGTTATAATCCAGCCTCGAAATATAGCGTACATCTGGGCAAATATACAGTTCGATTTCACGAGCGCATCCGACGAATAACAATTGACTGGCAATCGAGACGGTCTGCTTTGTTCCGTTTTTAACTTCTCAACGAAGGAAAGATAACATCCTTTGAAAGAAACGTGTTTATATGATTTTCTTCGTTCTACGATTTGTGTTTAGGATATCTTTATTGAAATTTCATAATTTTTTTATATTTAAATTTTGTTGGATTTAAATTGCATGCGTTTTTAGAGATTATGGAGAATACAGAAACAAGAAAGGAGACGTTCCTTGATCAAGGTATACTATGAGGTTATGTTTATTATGTATTAGAAAATATATAGTTGACATATATTATTAAATTAAAATTAATATTTTAAACTTTGTAATTAGCACAATGCTTTAAAATTTCATTGAAACTTACTTACACTTCATCGTAACATTTTTTTAAAAAAAATATTCGGAAATGTAATGAAATTTTAAAAGAAATTTCTGTTTATCATTGTAAGTCAATATCCAGATATTGATTTATCAAAATCTGATATCTGAAAGTGTTCATGAAACCTTTTCACAACAAGCTATGAGTTAACATAACAGAATGGATTGTATATAAATCCATTTGAAAGTTGTAAATCAGTCAGATAACAGATATTTCTACAATACATGTTTTACAATAACTATACACTCTATCACACGTTTATTGCGTACATTTTAACTGAAGATAACTCTTACAATACTCTTACAATTGTCAGATGCGTAAAAATAAAAGCCATAAAAATTATTCCAGAAGATTTAAAAATATTTCGTACAAAAATATGCAAATGTAGTTGTAGGAATAAATTACGTGTAAAATCGATTCATTATCGTACAACATTAGGTAATGAAAAAAAACTTGCATGTTAATTATATATAATTATAATAAGCAATAGCGATGTTAGGGCATACACATAATTTTATCTTTAATACTAGTCTTTGTTAACATTTTCTTCCATATATACGCGAAAATGAGCGAACGATAAGCGAACGAAACTGTTCAAGGTTCCGGTTAAGTCCGCGCATCAATCGTTCGACTGGTTGCAATAATTCTGCCCCCTTATTCGCTGGCTCTGATCGTTTTCTCGGGACGATAGCCTTCCTCGAAGTGATTTCGCGCGATTATGCTTTTCAATGCCGCCAGTATTTAATTATGCGCTCGAGCGGCCGCGATTTGTCGAGAGAGGTCGAAGTGTTCACAGTGCTCGTATTACCGCGTAAATGCCCGTGAATTCTCGGCATGTTAATGTTAATATACCTTGCCCCATAAATGCTTTCAGTCTATAGCGATAACGATTGCATTTCATGGAGACAAACAGAGATAAACCGAGAATTTCCCTGGAACGTTATTCCCTAGAACGGATTAAAATGATAGAGAATGGAAGAAATAAGCCTCTCTATTTTTTATGCATTTAAATATATATTATTATTAAATATTAATGTATTAATTATTTATTTAATTTTTATATTTTTTTAATAAATTAATAATATCAATATAGTAATATGATATAGATACATATATTCTTAAAATCATGTTCAGAAACCTGTTACAGCGATCTTGAAAATGTTTTTGAAATTAGAAATCTGAATAAATTTCATCACTTAAATATTCGATTAATTTTGTTTATAAATTATATATAAATTTTTTTATATATAAATCTCTAAGAATTTTATAAATCTTTTATAAATCTCTAAGAATTTTTTTTTTATCAAATTATTTAATTTTATCTTGGATTTATCTTATCTTTAAGGGAAAATCTTAATTTTATATTTTTAGATTTTAATTTAATTGTATATTTGAATATCATTATAGATATATTATATTGAAAATAAATGGATTAAATTTTATGAAAGAGAATTATATTGAAACTTATTAATATTATCTATATTTTTCCGTAAATTATCTATGTAATTTAAATATGTTTAAATAAATATCGATATATTAAGATACAAATCATGTATGCATACGTTAACACAAATTTATCACTATAATATACACGAATTAAAAATGTTAATTATATATACATATATTGAATGCATAATTATCTGAAAATTAAGAACATGGATTTTAATTCCCTAATATAATTTTATCGCGTATTCAACGTTTCTCTTCGACAAATCGTGAACTCTTAGAGAAGAAGAAAATTTGAATTTTTTTTTCCTTCTATCGTTCAGTGAATTTAATTTGTTCACTAAAAATATCTGATGTCGATTGCGAACGATTTAACGCATTATTAAGAATTCCTTTCAACGATCTGGTTGGAATCATTTTAAATGGGACCCCGTTTCCTGACCCATTGAGCGCTACAATCAAGTTTAATTAGCGGTATTATGAGTCAACTGGAATCATTATCGTGTCCAAATACGTCGCAATTTGTGTAGTTATTTAGAAATCGATGACCTGAAAAACTATGTTTCCTCAACTAAGTTATATGGTCGATGAATTGTAAAATATCTTAATATATCTTGATATATTGATGGCTCATTATTTTGTGGATTTGGAATATAATTGAATAAATTTCAATAATAATTTTATTGGTGTGTAATTTAAGGATTATTATTCAGTATGCGCGTATAGATTCTTTTAATTTGAACAAAATTGTTTGCAATGGATAGTAGTATTTCATCAACGTTTTCTTCTTTTTTTTTTTAATAATTATAAATTTATTCTCTCATGTCCTGCGTATCCTGTCCTATAAATCTTTAAACTCGTTTCTCCCATCTTAGAAAACCTGTCCTGTAACTTTGATTTTTAAGTGATAAGTGATACCTTGCTTCGTTTTACAAATTTATCAGTGTACAAAATGGAATGTCTAAATTAAGCTATAATATTATAAAAACTTGATTATATATAAATTATTTCGAAAACTAATGTATAAATAATCTTACGAATATCAATATTTTTTTAAATATTCGAAAAGATGGAAAGGATGAATAATCTCGAATTCAAATAATAACAATTGTGATAAATTATAAAATTGATATTAAAATTATTTCTTGTTATTAGATTAAAAAAAAATTTCACATAAAGAAAAAATG